GTTATGAAAATCATCGAATGACTGCTTCCGCCTGGGTGAGGCGGAAGGGAGTGTCAGACTCTTACTGACTAAAAACCACCCCGTTCCTGCACATCGAGCCGGAGCCCCGGTAACTCGTTAGGTTCTAAGGATAGGTAGAGATGGAACACCACTAAAATTCTTACATACCTACCTCTTTCGCTTCTTCAATAATCATTAGTTAAGATCATCAGTTAAGAGTACTCTTAATTTGGCCTTTTTCGTATAGCGATATATACGAAAAAGGCCAAATTAAGAGTACTCTTAACTGATATACGCCCATCTAGGAATCCCTACAATGATAATATATAATATTACAAAACCCTATCTAACCCTTTAAAAATGCTTACATATTTCCAACTACGAATTTACACACAAATCTATCATTACCCCCATAGGCCAGCTAGCAAAAACAAAACAAAAGAAACACAAAACATTTCCTTATTTATGACGAACACCATAATACCTTATTATTGACGTATTCGGTGTTTATAGAACCGAGCCCTTATTACAACACTTTAGCGATCCCATATCGATACATATTACTGTTATGTCGCGAGGAAAAGGCGTGTTGTCGTGTAACGTTCCAATATGTACTTAATATGTGATAGGTTAAGGTTTTATTTTGTGTTAACGGGGAAGTAGATGGGAATGTGCATTTGCTCTGAAATTTATGTTTCCATATTCAAATGTGTTCTTAATGTGGTACAGATTAAGGGTTCATATTGTGTGGGTAAACGATTGTATAGAGGTAGATAATGGTTTCCAGGAAAATTGATCTTTGTTATTTTGTATAATATTTTTAGATAAAATATTAGCAAAACATTCCTTAAACGAATTGACGATTAAACAATTTTTTTAAAAAACAAACAAAATTCCTGGAATGTCATTTGATTTTTAGAACATTCCTTAAAAAAGATAATACAAATTCTCAGACAGTAAAAAATGCCTAACTGAAGCGTTAAATATTAAACTTTATTACAAGGTGATTAGATTGATTGCACAATAGTAAATATCGACTTAGATAATAATACCTTCCTTGGGGCATTATGAGACATATTCTACTTGTGTTACAGTACAGTTCTCCCAGACAAGGCTTATGACCTTGCCCCAGTACATAAGAGATGAACCCTCAAACCTCATTCGCTGTTATGCTCTAAAATATGAGCCCCTCTTTCTATTAAAGCCTATATTCCAGTTTTCGGCGTAGTAAAAGGTGTATTCAGGTGAGTCAAGGCGAAATAAAAGGGTTCCGAAGGTCAGTACGTACGGTAATGCAGTAACTATTATATGCGCGCCGTTGGATTTTGTGAGAATAATTTTAGGTGATTGACCTTTGGGGATATAGCTTGGAAATTGGTTTTTATATAACATAGGTTACCTTCAGTGTTGTTACGATGGTAGATAGGTACTTTTTAACTTTTTAATAGATATAGATAAATACAAGGACTGTAAAAAAAAGCGGACATATTCTTTTGAAACAATCACTGCAGAACCTGGCTACTATAGAGTTACACGCAGAACATAAACACATTGACAGGTAGGACATCTGTCATTTTCTTAAGTCTGGTCATTACACATGCACACATAAGAACCACTGACATTTTGGTGCTTCAATAATTTCTAAGTGATATTATGTCCGTCTCTTTTTTCAGTATCTTTGGATAAATATATGGATGGATGTATTTTCTATAATATAGCGAAACTTTTTTTATTCTCCGAAAGCTAAAGCAAAAGTATTAAAGGTTCATTTATTTCCAGTAATATTTTGATTGCGTAATGTCACTCACGTACCGATGATACAACAATTGCGTTGTTTTGATTTGTCTCTTTCGTACTGTTTGACACGTGTGAAGACTCCACTCGATTTTGAAAAATGGTATCGTTTGCTCAATCCCGTTAGTGCTATCGTTGACAAAAAATAAAAGAAAAAGAATATTTGAAATAAGGAACAGTTAAAATAAATCATCGAATTATTTTTTGTTACGAAGTTTAAATTAGGAAGCGACAGCCGAAAAAGTTTGAATCGCAATATAATAAACAAAAGAACGAATTCCCAAACTTCTTTTCGTATAAGTTAAACTTTTTGGTGATTAGATTATACAATTCAAGAAAAAAAAGGTATGAAGCGTAAAATAAGATGCAAATAGCCAATTTTAAATTACAATTTCATAGAGCAATGAAAATAAAACTATAGATCTCTACAAACTCACCCCCTATTACATGGAACTCATAACATAAATAGTGAAAAGTGGGTGTTACATTGTATAGTGGCTAGTGGCATTAAGTGCCATAATGTGCACCTCTGTCTACCCCTTTGTGGATAAAATGCGTGATGTTATGCTATACGTTATCTTTCCAAAGTCAACTAGATAACAATAGACCATTTCATTCAACGTTATTAGACAGATACCGACCTGAATAAAACCTTTTTGGTGATGACTGTTTGACAGCCAAAAACATCTGTATTACCACCAAAGAGATTTCAATTCAGCCAACACTGGACCTAATTACAACAAAAATTAAAAAAATGACAGTTACGATAAAAATTTTAATTATCCCTTTGAAGTTGTTTGATAAATAGGAGTGGAAGATAGTGGAGTTGTGAATTCCGAAACGGAATTTAATATCGAAGCTCCAATTACGGTCCAGCTATTATTGTTAGTGATTAATGATCTAGACCGAGTATTTTGTTTTGCGGAGTTATGAGTTTTTTGCTTGATTTGTTTTGTTTTGTTTGATTATTTAGTATAATTTTATTTATGTATTTTCCCTATTTCTATATTATCTTATTTGTATAATTCTAGATATTTAAACGTATGTAGTCTCTTAAGACAATTTTATGTATATGAGGGTGTTCATGAAGTCTTTCTCTAAAGCTTAATATAGCATTTAAACTATTTTTTTACATCCTGCGTCACACTGTATCTGTCATGGACATTTAGCTATTTCATTGTCTGAGCCATCTCCGATCTCACCCACTATATTGCTTTAGGCAGAGTGAGTATTCCAATGATCAATCTCTCTATTCTTTGATAAATTGCTTCATGAGATTCAGAACGCTATTCCTTCTCAGTCTTGTGAAGATTGTACTTCCAGTCCCCGTCAACCTGGTCCCAATAGCATTAACAGGTCCAGTTAATTTATGCTGATATTTGAAACTATTAATCGATTTTTTTTTACAAAAAGAATGTTAGGTCTTTGGTGCATACAATTCCTTGTAACCACTAGATCCATTTCAAAATGTATAATTCTAAGTACTGAACTGTAACTTCTATATTACTGTCATTTTATTTACGACTCGAACTCATGGAACATAGTGGAATAGAAAAATCAATTGTACCAAAATTGCATCGTCTGGGCTCAGGAGATTAAATTCAATACTCTGAATATCCTTGCAATACCGAGCGCTTTCAAATGTGCATCGTTTGAGATAAGTTATGTTTGCTAGCGTCGCTGCAAGTATTGCTATTTCTGACCCATACGGAAACAAATTTCATTTAAAAAATCATGTTTTCATTTTTTTTAAGCGAGTGGTCCTTCGGGTTTATAGGTGAATTTATTAATATTCCTGTTATAAATATAGAGATAAAAATTGATCCATATAAATTATACATCTCAATAATATTTAGTGACTGTACTTATTTTACATATAAAAAAATATTCGTGAAGTAAATTCTCACTCTGCAAATCAAAAAACAAAATTGTTAATTACTTAGCATGATAAAATATTCACTAAAGTAAATCAGCGAGCCGTGAAATGCTGCAAAAATATGAAATACTTAAACTAAAGATTTTTCACTTTTGCAAGATGGCGGCCGGTACTCACGAAAATTA